GGAGCTCGTGAAACCCGGATAACATCTATAAACTGTACCAATTTCCCCCAATTCCTGTTTTGGGGGAAATGTGGTGAAGGTTCAGTGGGGCCTTCCTGCACATTTTTTTTGCAACTTCCAGTGAATCTACAATTATTTTAAAATAAAAAGGTAAAAAAAACAGATAAAACAGAAGCATTTTCACACATACAGAAGCTGAAATAGCTCACCACCACCAGACCCGCACTGCACGGGATGTTAAAGGGAGTCGTGCAGGAGGCCAGATGGAAATCTCGACCTGTGCACAGTGGGGCCACACAGGGAAGTATGACATGTTTATAAAATGTTATTTAAATCTCTTAGAAGACACTTCACTCTTTAAAGCAAAGTCATGACCATGTGCTGTGGGGCTTGTAACACTGGAAGGAAGACGTTTGACAGGCAGCCTGGAGGCGGAGCAGAGGGGGAGTGTGCCTGCCCTGGGCAGGACCCATGCTGTCACCTGTGGTTTCCTGTCACTGGAGGACAGGCTCCAGAGGCACAGATGTTACCTGTAGGCCCCAAGCGCCCACTAGTGACACAAGGGAGACTGTGGCTAATAAGCTAACGGGAGAAAAAGGAGATCACAGCCAATCCTCAATTTAGTTCCAAAGAAGACTGGGGGGGCGGGGCATAGATGGTCAAATAGAAAACAAACCACAAGACAGTCGATTCAAACCCGACCGTAGCAGTAATTCCATGAGAAGCGATGGTCTGAGACACCCTGGTGAAGAGGCAGAGGCGCTGTACCTGTAAAAAGTAACCAGGCTGTCGCGACATGAAACCCACTTTCTACGTGCATCACGACAGGGCTGCAGTTAGAGGCTGAATGCATGTGGACACGCCGAGAGCTCGCGGAGGCTGGTACCAGACGGGGTGGACTTCACAGTAAAGGGCGTTACAGGGTAGAGGGAGATTTCTTCTTTGAGGGCCCTGTAATTTGGAACACGTGGGGGTTCTCGTCGACTAAACATTTAACAGCTTCAAAAATATATGCGGCAAAAGTGCTGGAGTGGATGGAGTGTGGTCCCGCAGCACCCCTGCCCCTCCCCACCTCCCCTCTCCGCACCGCCTGCCTCCACCAGCCTGCTGAGCGGTTCACTTATGGGGTGTTTCCTTGTGAGGAGGCCTTGTCTGCTGCATACAAGCTTCTCGAATGTGCCCTGCACAAGGTGCGCCCAGGAAATGCATTCATGGTCCCTGATTCCGCTGTAGAACAAACTGCCATGGACTCATTTTCTCCACAGGCGGAAACGGAGGCTGGGAGAAGGGGAGGGAGGCACTGCCCCACAGCCTGGGGGGGGGGGCAGGCCGGCAAGGGGGGGGTGTCGGCCTCACATGCACTCAAGAGGAGGGGCCAGGCCTGGTGCTCCCAAGGGAGCTGGTGTCCACAAGGGCCATTCTGGTGACATCAGCGCCCAGGAGCTGGCGGGGGACATGGCCTTGGTGTCAGCTACTGTATTCAGGGCAGCCCTGGCACCTTTCCTCCCTCAGGCTCAGAGCACCCCCCTCCTCCCGCTGTCTCCCAAAAAAGCCAGCTCTCAGGAAAAACGCCCATTCCCTCCCGTGGGGCAGACAGCCCAGGGCTGAGGGGCCTTGGTCCCTCTCCTGCCCTTCAGCCAGCCAAGGGCCTTCACTTCCAAGTGCTGGGCAGGGTCACACCACAGGAATGCGTCTGTAAGTCACTCTTGGGTGGGGCCCGGGGGCTTCCCAGCACTCCTAAGCGGGGCCCCAGGGGTGCACTCTGCCTCTGGGCAGGGCCTGTCCCCACTCTCGGCTCAGAGCGTGAGAGTGTGGCCCCGGGGGAGCACGGCTAGAAAAGGCAGCGGTCTGGAGGGTCTGGCGGACAGAGGCAAAGCGAGGAGCGCTGGGTGAGAGCGAAGCGGGGCCAGTCCCTCGCGGGTCAGGTTCCAGGCCAGGCTGGAAGTGACTCAGACCGCCCAGGTGTGGATTCCACCATGCCCCAGGTCTCATTGGCATTTCCCTCCTTTTTGGAGACAGGAGGAGACGAACGGGGAGCTGCAGCCCCTCTGACAGCACTTTGGTGGGGGGCTCCCTGTGCTGGCTGCGCCGCTGGGAGACCTGTCTTCAGGCCCTGGCCCGTCAAGGGAACCTGGCCGCTGTCTGAGACTCTGCAGTGTGACTCTGCGGCTTTATCTGCACGTCAGCAGGGAGCGTGGAAACGGTGCACCCCGACCTGAGACCAAAGAGCGCTTTCACCCAGCGCCTGCCTCTCCTGCACCTACACGGAGGCTCTTTCCCGCGCTACTTTCATTTGCACGTGTGAAGTAAAGCAAAAATGTGCAACCTGGGCTCTGGGCAGCGCCGGAGTGAGGCAGGTCCTGGGGTCGATGCCCCGCGTCCTGGCAGAAGCCCAGGGCAGGTGTTCCCAGCAGGAGCAGGGGGGCGGAGGGCGGGGTGGAGAGGGTGAAGGGGGCTTCTGCTTGGGCGTGAGCGAACGTTTAGTCATCCCGTAGCTAACTTAATTTTTTTGGCATAAAGGATTATAAATATGATGTGCTTCACATATGTGGTTCCAAATTAGGTTAGTGATCCAGTGTCTGTCTTGGGGGAGGGTGATTTAAAGGCCGAGCTGGGAAAACAGTTCTTCAAAAAGTAAAACACACAATGGCTGTATCTCCCAGCACCCTTCTCCTCCGATGTCACAAAGACTTGTACACGAGTGTTCCCAGTCGCCCCGACAGCTGCGAGGGGACACAACGCAGATGTCCTTGGATGCAGGAGTGAACAAACTGGCCGATCGCACAACGGGGGGGTCTTGGCCGTCAGGACTGAAGCTCTGAGAAATGCTATCAGTGGGCGAGCCTTGAAATCACGGTGCTCAGTGCAACTAGCCAGTCACAAAGGCCACGTGTTGTGAGATTCCATGCACACAAGACACGCAGAATCGACGAATCCGCAGAGACACAGTTACCGGCGGTCAGCAGGGGCTGGGGGAGGGAACGCTAGCCTCACAGGGTTTCCTTTCGGGGAATGAAAACAGTTTGTAACTAGAGAGAGGTGGTGGTTATCCAACACTGTGAGGGTCCTAGACGGACTGAATTGTCCACTTTAAAATAGTTACTTTCATCTTATGTGAGTTTTACCTCAATTTAAAAAAACCTGAGCAAGGACTCCTCTTACACAGAGGCCCTTAACCTCAGTTTCAGCTTCTCTCAGCTTTCTTCCTGCAATATCTCCTCTCCAAACACACCAACCAAATGTATGTATTCTAACACGGAGCTCACTTCTAAATAAATATTGGATTTGAGTTGCACAGACACCGCCCTCGGGACATGGTTGGTTGGGACACTGCAAGGGAATGTCACAGGATTAGCAGAAGCAGCTGGTAATTAAGGGGTACCTCCTGGGAGCAGGGTGGGGGGCTGTGGAAAGTTGTCCAGCCAGCTGGGGACTTCGATGGCTCAGAGGAGACCCCCTCGAGATGGAGAGGGATGCTTAGACGCTCAGGCTTTTGCTTAGGCTGCACTTGGTTATGAGGAGAAAGCTGACGTTTATCAGAACGTTTTCCTATCCCAAGTCTGCGGCTTGGTGAAAGGCTGGACTCAGGGGCACCGAGAGAAGTTTGGGTGAAGGGGGATCAGAAGCCCAGACCTTCCCGGGCTTCCTGCGCCATCTCAGGAGGTTCTGGGGGACGGACCTGTTCTCCAGGTTCCCGCGTGAGCCCAAGGAGGACGCAGGCCACGAAAGGCAAGTGACCCCAACGCGCTAGAGGGTCAAGCAGCTCTACTTAAGCTCACATCTTTCTCAGCTCCCCCCACCCCTCCCCAAATGCAGTCCTAGCTCTGGTCCACACACATGAGGGCGAAATGCATTACCTCATTAGCAGAGCAGCTGGTAATTTTGGGGTACCTCCTTGAAGCAGGGGTGAGGGGCTGGAAACACATTGCTGGAAATAAGCTCATGGTATATTCCCTTATTACTCAAAATCAACCTAAGAGAAACAAAAACGAAGTAAACAGGGATATTCACAGAATCTGCCCATCATTTTATAGATTATGTTTTATTTCTGGAGCGTAAAATTGTATTGGGAATGGGGGGACGTGGGTTTATAAGAAAATCCAGTGTGCCCTTCAGTGACAAGTCTCATTCTCCCAGTCCTGCCAGCCTGCTCTCAGGAGGAGCGGCGGGGGCTCCAGTCCCCTCTGCGTGGGGGGCGGAGGGGGGTGCTATTCAGGACCCAGCATTCCAAGTCTGTGACAGGCCGGAGAGGGAACATCACTGGGTCTGGAGCACACGTCTTTTCTCCCACAGCTGCCACCACACCGTCCCCTTCACCCCGCGGAGCTCCTTGTGCCTGTGGTGGGACAAATGCTTGCTGGCTGAGGGGATGAGGGTCTCCCTAGCACACACCTCTGTCTGTAAAGCACTTAGCAAAGCAAACAGGAATGCTGCATTTTAAGGGTCCCGAAGGAAAAGTTTGCTCCTGACAATTCAGGACGATAATAACTGGAGAAGTCCTGGGTTTCATACCTGACTCGAACGACTAGATACCATTTTCCCACCTGAGCTGAAGTGGAAGGTTTGGGGAGGGGAGCAGCTTTCCAGAGCAAGCAGACAGGGGTGGGAGGCAGCAGAGGTGAGTTCGCCCGTCATGCCATCTTGCTAAACTGAGGATAAGTGCGGCCGAAGCCTCCCCAGGTCGTCCGGCAGAGTGAGTGCCGTCTCCACATGGAGGTGACTCCGGAGAGCTTTCCACGCGTTCTTTCTATCCTCCCCAGCGTCGTGTGATGGGTGCAGCATCTGGGACTCCATCCTGTCCACTCCCACGACAGGTAACAGGCAAGGAAGAGAGAGCACAGCCCTCCGGCAAGACGCACGTCCCGGCTCACTGACTGTCTCCGCGCAGCTCTGTCCTCGGAGCGCTTCTCACAGACGTGAGCGTCCCTGGAGCAGGACGCACGCTGGGCAACGCGACAGGATTCCCACACATGTAATGAATCACCCGCAGATGCCGACTGTCCAGCAAAAATATCGCTTTATTGGATCTATTTTCTAACTACAGAGCTAGTTGACACAAATATCAAACACTTCCTTTCTGTGTGACCATCTACTAAGAACGTTCCATGCAACGCTACGACGCTAAATGCTAGGCTGACAGGCAGGGGGGGCGCCTGCGAGGAGCAGGTCAGATACACGCGGGGCCATATCTTCAGTTCTTCACAGTTATGTGCAAATGTTACAAATATGGCTTTCAGACTTTTGTATCTTTCTGTGAATTAAAAAAAGTAAGACATAATCGTACAGGAGAACATTTTAAAAATAGTTCTATCTGTGGGAGCGCTCTCCCCTTGTCATCACTTCATGTTTAATGATTTATAACTTACAACCTGCCCCCACGGACGCACCAGGCAGGTTCCAGGAGGGGGCGTGACTTCCTAAGGCACAATTATTAGGTTAAACATGTTTTAATTAAACCATGCTTTTTTGGTTATTTGAAACAATAGAACATTACTAGTAATAATGTGTAATAAGATGTTCATTGTACAAAATGCAGTAAAGCTTACACTAACCTATCTGTTAACAGTAACTAACCTGAAACCTACTACAGTCGCTGCCTATTAAAACAGTGTTTTTGGTAATCGGGTTCTTAGATGAAGCAGAGTTATAAGGCTTCTGTGAAATAATAATCTTATAGCTGAACAAATATATTACACTCCCTTTGCAATGTTATTTACAGCTCCTTTCCAATTTCGCCTTTTGGTGACTCAGGGTGTTCTGAGCGTGCCTCCCCCGGCTTCGAAAGTGCTGTTAACTGCACGGCCTGTGGGGGGCGCCGGACCCCAGTGGAAGTCGCTGAGAAGCCAGGTGTGCAGTTGATGATGTCCCCAAATGCATTCTGGTTCTTGCTGGCGCAGACGCCTGTGCTGGACGAAGACTGACCGTCACCACCTGTTACTTATTATTTCTACACAAATACGTGCCTATGTATGTACACCCATGCAAATGCAAGACCTGTCCCGTGACGGACAGGTCCCTTTTCTTGTCCAGTAACCTACTTGTGCTATGTTCGAAGCCAGATTAAAAACAAAACCCTAGCATGCTACAATTAACAAGCCTATGGTTTTAGTAACACAGGGGAGGGAAGGGTATTACGGAAGAGCTGAGATGACAATTGGAAGATTTCTAAAATGCACGGAATAAGGCAACAAAATTGTATATTACAGCCCAGGAAAAGCTGAAAAAAAGTAGGAACCATCTTAGGTTTTTCTCAAAACGCCTAGTTTGCCAGTATTCTCTTAATTTATACAAAGGATAAAGCCTCACGATGAAATGTTTTTATAGCTTTGCTCCTACAAATACTCCCCTGCTAGCTTAATTGTACGATGTCCTGATGTTGTGGTCGGGTTAAATAAGGCACTTCCAGTGCTGAAATCCAGGGGTGCCCGCGGGGATGGCGGGGTCAGGCTGCCAGTGGGGTCATTCCCATGGGGGTGCCGTCACACAGTCTGTCTCCTCCACTCACCCCACCCAACCCCCTCTGTTTTCTTCTCGAGATGACTTTTCCTTCAGCAGATGGAGTGGTCCTTCCTGCCTTCATTCCTTTGTGCTAAAGAGCTACTTCTTTGTACGTACAATAAAATCTTCAGTAAGTTGGAACTTCTGAGTGGCACCAGGTGTGTGTTCAGCTGATTTAGTCAGAAGTCTGTAGGCTGACCTCCACTGTCATCCGTCGAGTCGACACCATGCAGCTTCTGAGTAAGCTCTGGTGTTGCCAGCTATGAATGGACGTTGGTGCTGGAGAGGTCGTTTCGTATTATTTCATTTACTGCAAGAAAACAAAAATAGAGAAAACGTTAGGGAGACGCTACTGCACAGAACTGCATGAAAATAACCAGAAGCCCGTCAGCCATGCTTTCAGGACGGCCTGCGAAAGGACTGTGCTGGGGCAAAGGCTTCCTCCCGCCTCCCACCACGTCCTCGACGTGTCCCGAGCCGGCGTGCAGTGCCCAGGACCTGCAGTGACCGCTCTAGGCCACGAACACGGTTGGGAATCGGCCTCTGACGCCCACGGAATGCCAGGCGCACACCCCGGGGTCCTGCGTGCATGTTCTTCAGGCAGGAGCCACCGCAGGGGGCGGGGGCGGGGGCGGCGGTGCACAGAGCCACCCAGCGGCACCCACAGTGGAAACAGCCGTGGGGAGTCCATGCTGAGTGACCAGGCCCGGCCTCATCGTCACGTGGGACAGGAGGCAACCACTGGGCGGCCCGAGGCCCCTCTGGGGGGGGCTCTTCCTTCATCTCTGTTTCCTTGTCCATGGCCACTATCAGCCTGTGATTTTTGGCAGCCAGAGAGGAAATGAGCAAAAGGCCATTGTAAGCGAGCCGCACAGCACCCCCTTCCCTCCACCCCCGATGGGCACCCAGATAGGGGAAATGTCACCAGGGAGGCTGTCACCACGGTCACTTTCCTAACAGGATCTGGAGGTGGGGAGCATGTGCTCGCGTCATGGAACTGCCCGGGTTTCCCTGTGCTGCCCAGATAAACGCCATGTGTTTCTGCAAAGGCCCCGGCCTGTCCGAGGGTGGCTTCCTGAGCAATTAGTTGGCACACAGTTCATCACCCCCACTCCCTTCCATAAAATCACTTTCAACATCCCCCCCATGACTTTTAAGAATAACAATAATAAAACACAGTTGGGGGAACCAGGAATTGTGTCATGGGAACTGATAACAGAACGCCCTGGCACAGGTTTAGTCAGGAGCCCGGACAGCAAACCCCAATCCCTGGCTCTTCCCAAAGCTGCTGCCTGGCCCTCGACCCAGGGCCACGGCGTCCACCCTCTGCCGAGCCCACCTGCTGCCTGGGCGAGAGGGCTCCAGCCTGCCTGCAGAGGACACATCTGGACATTGCCTGAGACACGAACGTGACGTACGGCCACCTGACAGGCAGCCCCGTGTTCTCTGAACATGGTGAAGCAGTGGCTGAGAAGCGCGGGGCACAGGGACGCAACCTCTCCCAGCAACTCCCCACAGCCACCAGTAGGGCCGTCAGGAGGCCCCGGGCTCAGACCGGCTCCCAGGCTGACACCTGTCTGCAAGTGTGCCAGGCGGCTCTGTAGGCGCTTCCACAGCACTCCCGGCCACCGCTGAAGGCAGGCAGGGCTCTCCTGTCTGCGTGCAGCACAGGTCGCGTCCCCGTCAGGCCCGGCGGCCTCTCCGTTATTCTACCTTGCTTCTGCTCCCTGGACCCCGCGCCTGCCCGCCACGCTCTGCTTCCTGGCGGCCGACGGGTGTGGGACTCGAGAGGCAATGTCACTTGTTTACACTCCTTCTTACTTATTGGACACTTATTATGTGTTCAATTTATATTCTGCAGAACACTGCCACATCAATGAACACGCTGACAAAGAAAAATCGCAAATCCTGAGTTTCTTCAGGGTATTGTTTTGGTAAGGAAAAGCCTTGCTGTAGCGAGGGTGGCTGGCACCAGGCAAAGTGTGAGGAATGTATAGAAAGACAGAGCTTGTGTGCGGAAAGAGGTGACAGAGACACGTCGTAACAGAGGCGACACTGCACAGCACCCAGGGTTACCTGTGCCGTTTACACCTCGTTTACAGCAGTCACCGTCTCATGTATTCTTAGCACCGACCGGGAAACATGGGCACAGCCGGTCTTCCTACGCCGTTTTCAGGTTAAGCAACAGCTTTGGGCCGGCCGTGGCAATGTCTGGGCGGCTGGGCTGCAGGGGCTGCAGGGAAGGTGGGAGTGGGTGCCAGAGGGGAGCCTTAAACCAGGGGCAAACTCAGCCATGGTGCCGCCACAGCAGAGGCGAGTTCATGGAGGGGGACGCTTGTGAGCAGGACCCCACCGGAAAAAGTGACAGAACTGGCAGTCACACAACCCTGAGGGACGGCTTCTACTTCTCATGCCAGAGTCAAGCACAACTGAAGTCCCAGCCAGAAATCTGATCCTAGTAAGATCAGAGACGGGGGCTGAAAAGTCTGGGGGGATAACGATGGGGATTGAGGGGGACGTTGAGGGGGAATAATTTTGGAGTTTGAGGGGGACGTTGAGGGGGAATAATTTTGGGGATTGAGGGGGCCTGAGCGTTTACATGATGGGGAATGGTCAGGGGTGGGGGAGCATTAAGCAAAGCAGCTGAGAACCTTCTAGTTCCTCAAGGTTATACAGACCACAGGAAAATAACATCTGTTTGACAAGATAAAAGGGGAAGAAACTTCAGAACTGGGCTTCCCCTACTGCCCACGGGGGCACCTGAACCTGGAGGGAGCCCGCGGTGGGTGGCAGTGGGGAAATCACTCAGTGTGTCCTGAGGAGTCCAGGGCCATGAGGTCCCACCGCGCGGCTACTTTCCAACTGCTGACGGACTCTGCTCTCTGACCCCACTGGGGCTCTCAGGACAGGAGCCCGGACGGGGCCTCCGAGGGAGCGAGACCCCAGCCCCTCATCGGCGTCTGGGGCTTCTGATGAACAACTGGCTTCCTTCTCTCCCAACACCGTGTTGTCTAGAAGTGCTGGGTCATCAGATCGCGCTGTTGTCCAAGCTCAGCAGCGTCAAGCTGGGGTCACAACATTTCAGAAAAAGGAGGAAGCACTCAAGAACTATCACACATGCGCAAACGTCCTCTAGCCTCTTCCCTAAGTACTACGGGATTAAGTGGGTCAGACAGCCGCTGAAAGAAAGCCAAGATGGATGGACGGCCACACACTGCAGAGTGGACAACGTCCCACACAACGCGGGCTGGACGGCCACAATGCTACACTCGCGTCCATGAACACAGGCTGTGCTGTAATCCAGTAATGAAAGCCAAGATGGCTGTCGTTTCACAGACGGATGAACACATCGTGGAAGGGCTGACTAAGGTCAAGTGTTTCTTTGATGGCTCGGCTGAGTGTGAAAACATGGGACCCTCCTGCCTTGCGCCTCTCCTGGCCACGACTTCCTATCTCTCTTCCATGAGGTCATGGTTCCGAGTCCATATCAGTCCACAGCCACGGGGGGTTGGGGGGGGCCTATGTGCGGGTTATTTTGGGGGTGGCTTTCTCTCTTTGATATGGTTGTGTCGATGACACCTACGCTTTCCCACAATAACTTCTCTGTGCTGATAGTTTCCATTTCTTATTCAGCTTTTCCACCGACACCAAGATTTTTCTCTTTATAGAAGTATTTTGAACTGCAGGTAACATGTGACCCTCACGGCTCGTCAGAGACCTGAAAGAGGAACCTTTGCTTTGCTTCACGTCAGACGTCCCGGTAACAGGATGTGGTGAGCTGTTACACCACAATTTAATTTAATAAGAAGGGTTTTTTCCCTCATATTTAATTTTTCTCTAAAATGCTCCTAAGGTGGAAACTATTGTTTTTTTTTTCTAAAACTTATGTGGCAGTTTGAACTCTCATTCTAATCTGGGATGTGTACGCAGGATGTGTGTGTGTGTGCACCACACACACACACACACCCAAATCCATCTCTATCTACATATCTTGAATTGAATGAAAGGGAAATTAGTATTTTTTAAAATATAAAAACTAAAATGTACGAAGAACAGGCCCAGCTTTTCCCCTGTGCTTACATCACCTATAAACTATATTCTTCCTAACACGACAGGAAGCTCTCTCTCACAAATTGCTGTGTAAATTAACTAACGTGAAGCATCCTTTTAAAAGTAAAATGTTTGTCCTTTCACAGGATGAGCTTCTTCTTTGGATCACTGTTTTGAAGACCTGACATTAAAGCCTGGCAATGCAGCCACACACACCCCTCCCCACGCCTGGGTTTCCCTCAGGGGCCCTGTGACTATTCGGGACGGCACCACCCAGGAAGGACCTGGAGTCTGAACACTGCTTTACACACCCGCCCTCTCAGTGCTGGCTTGTAGGCCAAGGTCCCCACAGTTCTGAGGACACCTAAGGACGCAGGGTCCAGCTAAGGGATGGGCGAACCCCTTATTCTCCTGATGCCCATGTGGTCTGCCTGGCATCTCGGCACTGGCAAGGACGAAGTCTGCGTCCTGGTGTTGGCCCTGTGAGGAGGGAAAGGCAGGTATCGCCGTCATGACGTTGGGACATGGCGAGGCCTCAGAAGGCTCAGCCGGGGAAACGCGGACCTTGGTCCTAGAGCTGACAGGTGAGGTCGCTGAGGCCCACAGCCCCTCGGCCACCGCCTGCGCATTTCCAGACTGCATGCCAGCTGGGCCGGCAGGTCCACGGGACACGCGCCTTGTTGTGTTCTGAGCTTACCAGGAAGGCCGTGAGGGACCCAGGGGCTTGGCTGGGGTCCCCTGGCGGCGCTGTGGGGCGGGGGTGGGGGGGGGGGGGGGACGGACACAGGCCTGCCGGCCCCGCCTTCCCTCATTCCAGCAGCTCGGTCCCTGTGTCTCCGCCCTCACCTGCTCAGTGCTCAGATGGGGGTCTCCAAGGCAAGGAAGGTTGAGGGGCACAGCGAGTGCTTCATTTGCTGAGATATCTTCTTTCAAAAACCCCTAAACATCACACACCCACCTGCCACCACCACACACACACGGTATTCTGTGGGAGCTAAAAAACATTTTTCAGCCATTTCTCCTGTACTAACTTTTATGTGCTTTAAACATCTTTTGCTAAAAAGAGAGAAGTGATCAAAGGAACCTCATGGGGTCTGAGCTGTCACCTACTTTCCACTGCATTGTAAGAACACACACGACGCGTCAGCGTTTCCTTTGCTCTGAAACAAACAGCCAAGTGAACCGAGCGCCTCCTCACAGGTCCTGGTGCAGACACCGGTGCCCAGAGACCGCTGACAACGCTACCAGAACCTTCATTCA